TCAAGAGTTGGGTGTTCGTCTTGTAATCGGAAGGTTGCCAGTTTGAGCCCCGGCTCGGACAGTCTCGGCCGTTGTGTCCTTGGGCAAGACACTTCACCTACCGCCTACTGGTGATGGCCAGAGGGGCCGATGGTGCGATATGGCAGCCTCGCCTCTGTCAGTCTGTCCAGGGCAGCTGTGGCTACAACTGTAGCTTGCCTTCACCAGTGTATGAATGTGAGAGTGAATGAATAGTGGTATTGTAAAGCGCTTTGAGGGGTCCCGAAAAGTGCTATATAAATGCAATCCATCATTACTATCATTATATCACGCCCCCTTCTATTTTTCATGAATGCCAATATACGTATACATAAAAAAGCCAAAAAAAGGCCAAATCGTTAGATGACAGTTCAGGTTTTTCTGTCAGAGTTTTTAAGTCGTTGGTTGACTCCTGCCAGTCTAAAGTGTCAAGCTCCATGTTTTTTTGTTAATACCAAAGCTAAAACCATTAACTGTTAGCTAATGTATCGTTTTAGGCTACAGTTTCTAGTTTTTACCTAAATGAAAAGATCTTTAAAAGCATCACGGCAGTTGAAAACATAAAATCAAGAACCAGGGAAACGTTACAACCGAATAGTGTATTTCTAGTTCCACTGATGTCCAGTAAAGTGAATGAGGTCAAGTGATATTCGCTGCTTTCGGTGCTGTATGTTGACAAAACTATTGATCATACCTCATAATCTTTGAATTCAGGTGTTTTCAGTCCCATTTCTACACCCAACAGGTGCCTTTACAAACATCTGTAAAAGAATGGGTCATTCTAAAGAGCTCACTGAAGTCAACAGTGCAGTGGTTAGGCCTGATTTAGACTTGTGCAGAGAATCTTTGAATAGAATATGACGTAACCATACGTAAGTGGGAAACAGGCATTTATGCTCATGCTGGTGCAGTACATGTTAATTACTGTATGGTCATGCCCCGGTGTTTTATATGAAGTGCCATCCAACTTGACAAAAATAAAATGCTAGGACTTTTCCCCCTCCTGGGTCTCCATTCTTTGTTGTCGACAGTTTTTCCCAGAGGTAAACATACTCGTCCCTCTAGTTTTTCCACTTCTTTGTACATTCCTTCACGTCCATTCTAACAGTTTAACCAATTTCCCTTTAGGAATTTGTTGACATTTGTGAATCCCTGCATTGATGCTAAGATTGTTATTTCTTATATCGAGACAATGACTCATAAATTCAAACACTGCCAAAAATGCACAGCAGGAATCAATGCCGCTGCTCAGGCCAGTCAAAATAGTTGCAACCCGATGTGTAGTTACATTTCACGGATGCACATCAGGTTAAGTCATTACTAGTGAAACATACGTCAGGTATAACAGTATTCCACCAATGCAACAAGTCAGTTAGTGAAATTTCTTCCCTTCTAGATATTCCAAGATCAACTCTTTAATTGTATAATTGTGACGTGAACCTCACATGAACATCTGTACAAAAACTGTGCACTGGGAGCTTCACTGCATGGGTTTCCATGACTGTGTGCAGAGGTGCACATATGTTTGGTCTGTGCCATAACAGTGCTAAGTGCACAATTAAGAATTAGAGCTATAACGGGTAGATTGCTCTACACAAATCCAATGCATCATTAAATTGTACTCGACAACCACCCCCACGACTGTCACAGCATCCAGGTTTAACAACTTGGCAGAAATCACGCAGTCCCTCCTTTGCTCTTAGCAAAAACAGTTTTCTTGCAAGCAGCTGAAGCTACAAATTAAAACCAGACAGCTTCCAGTAGTAAAAATCTGTCCCTTCCCGACAGACGCTCTATATTCATATGCCAATATCTCTTTATAGAGCTTATGATCCGATGTGAACTAATGCCAGCTCATTGGTATTACTTCTGTTGTTTGAAGCCTTTCGTCAGCATTTTACGGCGTTACTGAAGGTTTATGTTGTAATACTACAACCAGTAACAAGTCTTATCACTTTCAACTGCAGTCACAAGATTATCAGGTAAGACTCTGCACACAGTTTGCACACGAAGGTCTTGCAGTGGATTTAGGGAGTTCAGATCTCGTGCTGGAGTTCTGCTCAGTTTGTCTCTGTGCTGCTCTGAGTCTGCTCTGTTCCTCCTTTATTCTGGATTTATTCTTCTGCAGTCTCTGGCGTGGTTTGTACAAGGAATGTGGTGAACTGCCAGCCATGCGCTCTTGGACCAGAAAAGCCAGAGGGCCACTTGCCGCCACAACTATTACAGCGCTTCATTCGTACTGAGCCAGTGTAACCTAAAACCCAGCAGAGTCCTCTAACATGAGACTACACGGAGGAGCTCTGATGGCAGTTCAGCTCACTGATGGGGTGTCACAGGAGAACTGTTCAAACACAGGACTTATATGACTTGTATGTGTTTGCGTGTGTCCAAGAAAGAATACCAAAAAGAAATGACAGATTTTTACTTTACAGAGGCAATGCACAAGAAATCAATGAGAGTGAGAGCATCAATTTCAGTGTTTAAAGACAGATTTGCTAAAATGTAAAGTACAGTACAGCACCTATACAGCTGGTGTAGCTGATAAAGAATCAAAGCAATCAAAGTAAAAGTGAAAGAGATGCACAGCATTCCCAGCAAAAAAGGACTCGTTTGACCCAAATGTGTCAGCATCTCAGCCTGGATTTAAAAACATGCCTGCATGCAAATATTACCACAGCGAGCTGCAATATTAAAGCAGCAGGCTGCTAACGTGGCACAGCAGAGCAATACCTTACCAACAGGTTAGCATCTGATCCTGCATGATTCACTATTGGCGAATGAATCTACATTGCGTCCTCCACCTCCAGCAGTCGTCCTGTGGTCAAGTCACAGCCACATCATGAAAGCCACCCCACCCCCCCTCGCAGTGCCTACTGAGCTATCTGTGCTCCATTTACACCAATTGTCATTCAGATAGGGCAGGGTACTGCTGTTTATGGCTACCCGTGACACACATTAATATGAAAAGCATAATTAAGAGCAATTAGGCTTTTCTAGGGAAGGGGGTTAGCTAGAAACACAGCATGCAAAATCTGTTGTGGCATTTCATCCAGTAATATTACTTGCATGTATTACTTGTATGTAACAACAGTAAATGTTTAAAATGGGGATAGAAGCAGCTTGAATTAAGAGAGGATTGCGATCACTTGAAAGGGGTAGCTACCATCACCGTTGCCTTTGACTTACAGCTTCAAGATAACCCATGAACGAGAGACTCCTACTGATCATGTGCGGCTTATTGTGACTGAATCCTACAAAACAAGCCACAAAAAACTACACACATCTGTTGATTAAAAGAAATCTCCGAAGAAATCTTAAAGTTTATATTGAGTTTAAGAGGGGTCAGCAGATATCCATCCTGCACATAAATACCTTAAGGCAAAGTAACCCATTCACAGACCTCAGGAAGCAGGTTCTGCATGGGGAACATGCGAGGACTTGCTGAACGTAAACTAAAAGAGGGGGGGTAAATGCACTGGGGTATATCCAGGCTGCAGAAACTGTTCTGGGGATGGATAATTGTGGGATGTGGACAGAAGAGAGAGGGGTATGCAGGTTCTCTAAGTGCTTACTTGAGAGGGGTGTCATTTTAAACACACACACATACACACACACACTTATCAAAACACATCACCCCCGAGTCACTCAGGGAAGGGAGATTAAAGGAGCGAGGGGATGGCCACATGCTGTGTTATCAGGCTAATGAATGCTTTCTGGTGGCCAAGCAACGTTTTACATATGAAGAAGGGCAAGTGTGAATAACATGTTTAATCTTAACACGCCAAGAAGTCAGCTCAGGGCAAGAAGTCTTTCTGTTTTTACAAATAACAGCAGCCCACACCGACACTCACCGGAGCTTTTACTTGTCAGAAGGTTACCGTAGTGAGAAGGACGGAGGAAAAAAGACCTGCTTGCTTCTTTAATTCATTCACGGTTAAAGTGAATTATGTTGGAGCTTGATCACACATGGGTGAAAGTGAAAGGGCCAGAGACAGGGGCATCATAATCCTCAAACTTCCTCATATCGGTATTATGGCAAATAACTTTAGGGATGAGCCTTTTCCTCACATATCACAGCTCCATATCCTCCATGTAATATACACCAAGACTGCCATGATTCTGATAGTCTTGAAAGGGGAGATGACCAAAAATGATCAAACTGAATTTTTCCTGCTCAAAACGAGCCTTTGGGGGATGACTGCACAGGTAAGCAGGACTAGTCTATAGTAGTTAAAGCACACCTGTTGCCTTAGTTACCAGGACTCTTTTAGCTCTTTAAGAAAGAAACATTATGGTAAAATGGGTTAAATTAAGCCCGACAAAATACAGATTAAAAACCTTTTTATTTTCTTTTGGTAGAAGGTCAAAATTCTCTACTTGAATGAAAAACATTCATGCATAAGTTTGAGCTCATTAACAGTGGTATCATTTTTTAAAAATTCAAATCTTCTCTTTCATTGATGCACACATGTTCTCTTTAATCATAGCATATTTAAGTGGTTATATATATATTTATTAGAGGTCACTAAAGAGCCGCATATGGTTATGATCTGTCAGGTTTTAATGTAGTTGTTAAATCTGTGGCTCTTTTATGTCAGCAAAGAAAATGCTGATGGAGAGAGTCATTGCTTGGGTGAGTTATAGCAAATTAATAGCCGGATTTAAGTGGCTCATAGTTTGAGGCTGGGACAGCCAAACTGTCACACACCCATCGGCGTGGGAAGACAGCACAGGTCTCTCTGGAAGATATATAAAAAATAAAGTTATTAAATGACCTTTGAGCCACTTTGTTACAGCTTGGGCTGGTTTTGAGCTACTGCAGCAGCAATAACACAACTTTTATTTAAATCTGCGTCATTTTTTGGAATAAACGTCACTGATGGAAAATAAAAACGGTGCCTCCTCGTGCAGCTGTCTCCCAGAGCCGCGCGCTCGCAGGCAGCTCGGGTATAAGCAGATACTCAGAGCGGGTCGGTACTCACGCACTGCCTCCTGTTTGGGGTCCAGCTCGGAGCAGGTCTGTTGAAGTTGGCCGATCCTGCCCTGGAGCCCCCGGACCCGCTGGTTGGTGGTTGTGAGCTCGTTTTCCAGCTCCTGGAATATGGAGTAGGCATGTTTGGCCAGGTCCGACAGCTGCCGCAAGGTCCGAGATAGAGCCACATTACTGATGGAGACCAGATCCTCGAAAACCAGACCCTCCTCGTTTGGGACTTGATACCTGCACAGTAACTGGGGTTCCACTATTCTTTTGGCAAATGGCATATTGTTGTGGAGCGGGAAATAAATCCAAGAAAAGTCACCCAGGAGTGAGAAGAAAGTTGCTGTGCCCCCTCGGCCCCCGATCCAGTTTGACTGAACTCAGCTGCTGCTGCCGCTGGTGCCCCCCATCCTTTCATTTGTTAGAGAGGACTGTTGTGCTCCTCGCCGCTGCGCCGGGTCATCTGCTGCCCTAATGCTGGTGTGTTTTTCACTGTTACGAAGTAAAAGAGGTGGTTTTTAAAAAGAAGCATGTGGGAAGTCCCGGAGTGGAGTTCCGGGGATGAGTGGATCCGGACTCCGCCTGCTTCAACCCTGTAAACACTCCACAGCAAACGCTTCAGATGCATTGGAGGCATAGCAGAACGAACACTACAGAATATTAAAAGAGCAATTAATTAAAAGGCCATATTTTTAAATTATTCTTATTATTCTTCTAAAGTTGTTCTTTTTTAGAAAAAGCATGGATGTTGGTTTTCTTTGCGTTTTGGGGATGCACAGTGAACAGGAACACTTAACTCCCTGCAGTCTGGTGGATTTCCTGCACCAGTTTATGCTATAGCATGAACCTCATGTCTTTGTTTACGTAAAGAAAAACACAGAAATCAGTGACTGGGTAACATTAACTGGACTGTAATGCAGTGAGGCTCTGGGGCATGATGCATTACTTTCAGGGAATGTTATTTGTATAGCCCAGTATCATCTGTAATGGTTCAAAGGTCCTCACAGGCATACAAAATATATTAAAAGCAGGGAAAAGACAAGCAAACAGGCAAACATATATGAAAAATACAAAGTATTACTGAGGAAAATGTGCATCTGCTTTGCATCTAAATCTGATAAAACCTGTGGTTAGTAAAATGTTTTTACAAAAGTGCCACTACTTGCTCAAATTAAATCCATACAGGTTATTTGCAGTTAAAAGTCCTTAACAGATGGCCCATAAGCTGTTAATAAGACAAAAGGAAAATGCAGTCAAATAAAAAAAGAGGAAGGAAAGAGAGAAAACTAAGTTAAGAAGGTTAACGAAGTGTCTTTAAATGTGTTTGGAAAAAACATCGCGCAAACAGTTGCTTGCTTTAAAGGAAAATATATGCTAAACTGGGAGACAAAGAAGGGATTTCATTATTGGGGTAATATATTAAAATGTCAAAGGTCTCACACATGTGCACCTCAGCAGCTACTGAGATTAACTGAAAACAAAAATGTTAGTTATCATTTTCTTAAGATTAGTTAAGAAACTTCTGAATTTCTTTCGAGAATTATTTTGAGACAAAGTCCTGATGTCTGACCTCCTCCTTGTTTTTCTTTCTGGCTTTAGGAACCTGCCTCCACCTGCAAAGCATCAGAGGAGAGAAGGACACACATAAAGGAGAGAAGGAGACACTTCGTGTCATTGTTTTTATTTTGATTTTAGTTTACCATACAATATTCAGCAGCGGTATCTACGGTTAGGGTTTAATAAAAGCTTTGGCAATATTCAAGTTATAAACACATCACATGTATTACGTGTCATAGAGAAGGTGTTTGCTAACTAGATGTTGGGGACATTCAGCGCATTCATGCCAACCATTATGTTTTTTAGCTTTTGAGTTCTTGAGACTGCATTTGAGCTCCAAAGTGGCTGATGTGCAGTCCTCTATGCCATTCAGCTACGTCTCTGACAAGGCAGATGTCTTGGACTGCAGCTTTCTCCTCGCTCTGCTCAGTTCTCCACCTGCTGCATGTCCTGGTTGATGTGGCCCTGCAGCCAGCAGCAGATCTCACCCAACAATTTGTACTGCTGCCAACTGCAGTCCAACACACTGGAGCTGGAATACAATACCAGCCTGATCAGCATGCAGGTAACGAAACAGAAGGTGGGATGGGCTGTGTATCCGAGTGCTAAAAATGATGCATTTGTTTCAATGTTTCACAAGAAGCTCAAACAACACAAACATATTAACACAAAGTAAGTCATGTTGTTTTTTTTTCTTTAGTTCTAGTCTTAAAGTAAATCCAGAGTATTAAAATCTCTTAAATCTAACTTAAGCTTCAGGAAGTCTGTTGAAAAAAAAGAAGACTTGATTTAGTTTATTTGCTATAGGGATATCCAGCACATTTCCTTCATTCACTCTTGCGCAGTAAAACAACAATAATTCAGCTTTCACGTTGTCATACCCCTGTGTAGGTTAATCTTCACTTTTAACTCTGTTTGCAGACCTGACAGCCTTAGCCGAGCTTCATTCACATTTGCTGAATGAGTGTTTAGTTAAATCCCACCAGCTGACGGGGCCAGAATCGACAGCTCCAAAGCCTTTCCTGTGGCCTAGCTAATGTCCACACCAGAAGTGCAACCTTTGCAAAGCCCAGCCGCGGACAAAGGCGGGACGAGAGAAGCTCCGTATGTCGTCATCTTTGAGTAATGGTGCTGGAACAAAAGGCCGAACTTGAACAGACAAAAGCTGGTAATCTTTGTTGTGAGAAGAGTCAGCTTTAACTTGAAGTGAGCAGGGGTGATATGGACACAGTTTACTTACCGTGAACTGAGAAAAACGTGCTCTCCACGTCCACAGATCACAACATTAAAAAGCGCTGACAGGTGGAGTGAGTTATAATATTTTTACAACCTTGGCGTATCTTTTGTGAAGATGTGTTGAACTTCAGCATATAAAAAAGGTGGTGCATACAGCAAGGCCCTGCTCTCTTCCTGATGCATGTTTGGAAATGAGACAGCTTTGAATATTAGATGCATTTCACAGGCACGCTTCCTGTTTTATTTTGGTGTCTTCTGTTGCTCTATTTTTCCCACCTCTGATTTCCTGATTGAATCCTCCTGCGTCTCGTTTCTTGTTTCTCAGTCAGACCTCTGTATACATCCAGTCCTATCTCCTCCTCAGCCTTTTGTTATTCTTTATGTTTTCTGTTCCTTTTTGATATTTTTAAAGTATCAGCCATCGGAGCTGTGGTATCTCACTTAGGTCCTCTGTCAAAGCACACTATCTATGTCTTGATATGCCTTTATTTGGCTTTTAGTGTCATTTTTATGTCATTCATTTATATGGAGATAAAAATGGAGGCCCGGTTAATTCTCTGTGTTGTGTCTGAGAACACAAAATATCAATCCATCTGTAAGAATCATTAATACTAATAAGCACGTGCAGAATAATCAGGCAGCTGCTGTTTAAGTGGGAGACGGTTATTATAAGAGCAGGCTTATACTTAGAGGCACATGGCTGACATACAGTTTCCTCATCACGCTCAGTTGTCATCCTGAAATGCAAACCAAACATTTTTAAATAGTATTTATAGTTGAGTGAGAATGACTCTCTGTTAAGCCAACTGACTTAATGAATGCACACAGTCCTCTCCCGTTGTATAAGATGAAATAAACCTATAGTGTGGATGGAGTGACTGTAAGTTGATGCAGCAGGTACCGACATGCAGGATTGTGCCAAATATTGGTTATGGCGCAGAGGAATTACGAGCGTCTTGTTGTCGTCTGGCATCCTGCGTCTGCTTCCCAGACTGAACTTATTTACTCAGGCTCATTCATTTTCTCAGATGCCTCAAAAACTTTCTGCCTTTTTTCCTTGGATTGAGTATCGGTTTCTCTTTTCTATTCCTTAAAAATGCCCTGGGAATTCAATCGTGCAAAAGAATTCAGCGAGTATCCGTCTTTTCTTGGTCTCGGTGATAGGCTTAATTTAGTCTTGGAGAAAACTTCACATATTGGAAACAAGTCATAATCAACTACTTACAGGAGAAATTAGAGATGAAATGAGCGACTAAAGCTGGGATCAAACTTGCTTGAGGATTTGCACGTTCCAGAAAATGTGAGGTACTAAATGGGAAACAGCATGGCTGACACGTGACAAGTGCCAAAAACTGCAGTTCTTCTAACGGCCACTTGAGGCAGACTCTGAAGGCAAGCCATTCCCCACAGACTCTGATGTTAGCTGCTGTGAAAATTACACCCTAGTACAAAAATAGTTTGTTTCTCTATAGCTAAATCCTCTTCATAACAACAACATCGAGAGTTTTTCGATATCTTATCCATTTGAATTTTTTAGAGGCTTAAAATGAGGGAGGCGGAGCCACTTTGTCTGACACCTGGGACAGCTGTTAGCTGCAGCCAACAGCTGTCTGCTGGGTGTCTCCTCAGCAAATGCAGTCACTGAGCTGGAGCTGTTGAATGTTTTGCAGACTTAAAAAAAAAAAATCATACTACTCCAAAACCAGAATTTTTAAATATTCAAAGTGAAAGTAACTATATTTACTCAAATACTGTTTAGTAACACTTTGAGATACTTAGAGTATTTACAATCTCAAGTAAATAATATACTTTTTTTTGTATAACAAGTTGAGCAAGTACTTTATAGATTATGTTTAACATGCTAGCACATGATAATAAATAAATAATAATGGAAAACTATACAGTAGATAAGATTTTAGTTGACTTTATTTTTGATATTTATGTTTTCTAATACTTTATGCATTTACTTAACTAAAACTTTCAATTAAATTATTTTCCTTTTAGCAGCTTATTTATAACATTGTATTTACTAGTACTGAGTACCACCTCTCTAGCAATGTCATTTAGCTACTAAACATATGGCTAAATACGCAGTCTATATTTCTAGCAAACTACCAAAATGTGACACTTCTTGATCATAAGAAGAACTTGATCATAATTCAAAATCATAACAAACAAAGAAAAATACCACATAAAGTATTATTAGTGGGCTCAGTAGTGTAGGTGAATATGAGAAGTTCTGAATGCCATGAACCAAATGCACTCCACTGGAGCCTCTTTCAAAGCTCCAGTGGAGTGCTTTGAAAGAGGACCAGCACACCAGGCCCAGGTGTTGGCTGTGATGCCTCCACTTAGTACCTACAAGAAAAGCTGCCACACAGACAGGAAGGTGGGACAGAGAGGGTCTGCAGATCACCAAAGTTACTCCAAATTACCCTCATGGGGGGATATGCATTTAGTACCTAATGTTATGTCAAATTTGCCAAGAACGTTAATCCCAAAGATCACGACTCCTCCTCCTCTGTGGATCACGAATATAAAGAATAGCCTTAGCTAATGAAACATTTTGTTTGGACCAACATGCCAATTAGCCAACAGACCAAATGAGTGAGCCAGCATTCTCATCAGCTCCTATAACACATTTGTAACTAATAAAAAACAGATGA